AACTTCGGTGATTTTTCACGCTCAGAGGAATGCGTGAAAAAGCTTGAAAATCGAAGTGCTCCTGATTTTATTGTGATCTTTCAAGGAAAAATATTAAATAAATCTATGAGAATGATTTCAATCACGAAATAGATCGTGGCGACAATTTGAGCCATGTTCCCAGCCCATAGGCTACGGTATAGTGGGCTTCGGCGTCTGTGTCAAGGTGTCGCATTTTTGGCGGCGGGCGACCAGGAGCAAAGTGGGTTCTTAGGGGGCAAAAAAATTTGGGGGACCGGTCCTTGCCAAAATTGCGGACTACCTACAGCTAGCTCTGGTAGAACCGGAACTTTTGGAAAAACGAAGGACCGGTCCTCGGGTGGAAGTGGACCCCAAAAAGAAGTGGGGGGCATTGGACCGGTCCTCGGGTAGAAGCTGACCCCAAAGAGAAGTGAGGGCATGTGAACTGCAAAAGGGCCCTCAGGCCCAGGCGTTGAGCCCCGTCTTCTCAAAACAGGGAGGTCAGGCACAACGAAACAGGATTTTTTGTGCTCAGACGAACATGCACAAAAAACTATAATTTTGAGAATCCATAGATGAGGTCGTGTTCTTTCCATAAAAAATAATAGAACATTTACAAAAAATAATTTAGACTGCTAAATAATTGTCGCGCCATTTCAACACATTTTCCATTTTTGCCACTTAGCCATGCTTGAGCCAACTAAAAAAGTACTCCAAATTCAGAGAGTTTTCGCGCTCAGAAGAATGTGTGAAAAAACCTGAAAATTTGAGTACTCATAGATTTTATTGTGATCTTTCCAGGAAAAATGCTACATAAATTAAAAAAACTTTGCAGCCCTAAGGCTGCGGTCTACTAGGGTTCAGTGTCTGTGTCAATGTGTCACATTTGCGACGAGCGACCAGGATCCAAAGTGGGTTCTTAGGGGGCAAAAAAAATTGGGGAACCGGTCCTTGCCAAAATTGCAGACTACCTACAGCTAACTCTGGTAGAATCGGGACTTTTGGAAAAAGAAAGGACCTGTCCTTGGGTGGAAGTGGGCCCCAAAACGAAGTGGGGGTGGGGTAAGGGTTTTTACCACTCAGCCATGCCTGGGCCAACTAAAAAAGTACTCCAAATTTAGTGAATTTTCACTCTCAAAAGAATGCGTGAAAAAACCTGAAAATTGAAATACTCGTAGATTTTGTTGTGATCTTCCCAGGAAAAACGCTAAATAAATTTAAAAAAATCATTCCAACTGCGAAATAGATCGCGACCGCAATTTAACCCATATTTCGAGTCTGCCATTCAACCTCTCTCTCTCTCTCTCTCTCTCTCTCTCTCTCTCTCTCTCTCTCTCTCTCTCTCT